GTACCCTTTCCAGGTTCCTGGCTACCTTGAACTGCTTTAACCATGCACGGGCTGTTCATGCCCCTTCAGATGGCCTGAGGCAGCTGGGCCCCTCCAGGCTAATGGGGCAGGGCCCAGCCCCTAAATCACCTGGAGGCAGAAGCCGCAAATTGGCCACTGTCAGTCTTGATTTGAACTTGCTGACTGTAAGGGTTCCAGGGTTTGTCATCAAGCAGGACTCCCGGGTATCTCTTATTAGATGATAGATACCCAAGCTGGCCTGCTCAGCCTTGCCCTAAGAAAGGAGGGTAGTATTCTCCAGATTTACTTGCAAGGGGAATATGCCCTAGGCAGATGTCATGGACACCCTAGAGTTCATTCTTGAAACCAGGCCTCTCCAGACACTTGTCCTGCTGCGGGTCCCCGGCTTCCCTGACTTGTGTGACTTGCACTGTGCAGTATGCACTCGGGTAGTCAGTTTGAGGGCAGCATAGGCCCACCAGGCAGCATAGGTCCTCCAGCTGGGGCCAGTATCCAACCACCTGCATAGCCTCCAGGACAAAGGAATCCAACCCTGAAAATCTTTCTAAGGCAGCAGCTTTAAATTGGTAATGGCCCCCATTTGGATTGGCTGCCTGATGGGGTATCTGGCTTCTCCAACAATCAAGGCTCCCAGGTGTCTCTTATTGGAGGGTGTACTGGCCATCAGGCATAGCCCAGGCAAGGCCAACCAGATTTCCCCAGCTCTGACTTCCAGGGGAATGTCCACATTTGTGTAGGTTAAATCTTGGAAACAGGTAGATGCCAGGTACTTCTGATAGCCTGCTCTCATGCCTCAACAGTGGGGGACACCAAACCCACCTCCCGAAAATTGCTCTGTAACAGCCATAGAAAAGGGCAACAGTCAGTCCTCACGTTGACTTACTGCGTGCTGAAGTCCTGGGCTTCTGCGTCCATCAAAGTTCCCAGGAGTCTCCCATTGCAGGATACCCTACCCCTACCATCCCATTGATCTAGCCCTGCAAGGAAGTCCAGACTACTCAAAGTCTGCCTTCACCTGGAATATGCACGTTCATATCCCAATCACTACCTGAAAATCGGAAATCACTCTGAGCTGCTGAAATGAGTGACGGTCAATCCCATGTGGCCTTACTGTCCTGAGGTCTGGGCTTCTGCCTCAATCACCCTTCCCAGGTGTCTCTTATTGGGGGAAACTCCAGATTTCTCAAGGACTGCCTTCAGTGAGAATATGTACAATTCTGTAGGGTTGGGCTTGGAATTAGGCAGATGCTTTGTAACTTCAAGAGCCTGCTCCCCTGACCTGGCATCTCCAGATGCTTGCCCTGTTCCAGGTCCCTGGCTCCCCTGACCTACACCCCCATGCAGGCACATGCATATCCTGTAAGCCAATCTTGGGCAGACCCAACCCTCAGAGCCTGTGAAACCCTGGCTAGGCCCTCACCACTTACATAGCGTCCCGCAAGAAGGGAGCCTACCTTAGGGAAATCACTTCTAGTTGACCCCTACTAATGGGAGACGGTCCCCATGTGGACATGCTTCTGCATGGGGTCTTGGGCTTCTTTAGGAACCAGGACCCCCTGATGTCTCCAAATGGAAGATACCCTGTCCTGTGGGCCTGGTCCTTCCCCAGAGAGGCTGTTGAAAACCCTCCAGTTCCGCCCTGTTCCAGATCCCAGGCCAAATTAATCTGGGAGACCTGCGTATGCGCTGTTGGCACACTAGAGTTGGCCTTGGGCTGCAGGGGGCACTCCAGGCCTGTGGAACTCCGGCCGGAACCCAGGCACCTGAATGACCTCAGGGTGGAGGGAGCCCCACCCCCTGAAAATCCTTCTGAGGCTCAGTTTAAAACAGTCCGCATTGCTTCCATTTGCATTGGCTTCCTGATGGGGTATCAGGCTGCTCTAGACATCAGGGCTCATCAGGTGTTTCTTATTGGAGGATCCTCCGGTCATCTAGCCTAGCCTTGCCCAGGCAAGGCCAACCTTATATCTGCAGCTCCGCCTTCAGGGGGAATATATGCATTTGTGGAGGCTAAGCCTTGGAATTAGGTGGATGCCAGGTTCCCTAATAGCCCCCTCCTGTGACCCGCCACATCTGCCATCACCCATGTCAGGGTCTCTTACCGCCCTGACCTGCAATGTCAGCCGACCCTTGGCTTTTGGGGCCCTCACAGGCCTGTGGGGCTCAAGCCAGTCCTCAAATACCCACTAGCTGCCAGCATGGGGAGAGCTTGAAATTCTTTCTGAGGCTTCAGCTTTAACTGCTGACTGTTCGTCCCCATTGGAAGAGGCTGCCCAATGGCTTCTCCAGCAATTAAGGATCCCAGGTGTCTCTTATTACAGGGTTCCTCGACCACCCCTTCTTGCCCCACTGAGGCAGGGCAGTGCAGATTCTTCCAGCTCTGCCTTCAGGGAGAATGTGTGCCTTTTTGTCTGTTAAGCCTTGGTATCGGGCAGATGCCAGGTATCCCAGTTGCCCCCTCCTGTGACCCAACCTCAGCCAACATCGCCCAGTTCCAGGTCCCTGGTTACGCTGGCTACTTGGACTTGCGTGGCCTGTGCTTGAGTGGTCCATATTCTGTCAGTTGGTTTCTGACTGTCGGGGCCCTCTCTGCCTGTGGAGGTTAGGCGGGTCCTGAAACACCTGCTGGCCTGCAGGGTGGAGACAGCCACCCCTACTAAAATCATCCTGAGGCTCCAGCTTAAACTAGAGACAATGAGTCCCCATTTGGACTAGCTGCCTGATGGGGTATTTGGCTTCTCTAGCAACCAGGGATCCAAGGGGGTGGTCTCTTACTGGAGGAAGCATGACCTTTATATGGTCCATGCAGGGCAAGGCAATCCAGAACACTTTAGCTATGCCTTCAGAGGGAATATTTACATTTGCATAGGTTGGGGCTTAGAATTAGGCAGACTCTTTGTACCCTGAGAGCATGCTCCTGGAACTTGGGATCTCTGGACGCTTGCCTTCTTTTCCGTCCCTGACTACCCTTACCTGGGAGGCCTGCACATGGGCAGTATGTACCCCAAAAGCTGGCTTTGGGCAGACCCTGCCCTCCAAGCCTGTGGAATTCAGACCTCCACTACCAGCATCACCCCTGGCGTGGAGGGAGCCCACCTTTTGAAAATCGCTCTGAGCCAATAGGTGCGAAAGGGCAACAGGTAGTCAGCATGCAGACTTACTGCCTGCCAGGCTCTAGGGCTTCTGTAGGAATCAGGACTCCCCTGTGTCTCCATACGGCTGATACCCTGTCCTGCCAGGCAGGCCACTTCCTAGTAAGGCAGTTGAAAAACCTCCAGCTCTTCTTTTGGGGGGAATGTTCCATAATGTGTAGGTAGGCCTTGTTCATTAGGCTGATACCCTGTACCCCCACTAGCTCTCCCCTGTGATACGCCTTGCCCACCAATGCCTGTTGCAGATCTCCTTCCGGCCTCAACTTCCAGGCCTGCTCATTTGTACTTGTATCCTGTCACCCGGCCTTGGGCTGTAGGGGCACACCAATGACCTCAGTGCCCTCTGAGTAGAAGGAGCCCACCCACAGTAAGTCTTTCTGAGACACCAGCTCTAACCTGACAACAGTGTCCCCATTTGGACTGGCTGTCTGATGGGGTCTTGATGTTCATCAGCAACCAGGGGCCCCCAGGTATCTGGGAGTGCCCTGGTTAGCGCTCCTGGGCCCACTCTGCCCAAACAGTCCTGATGGCCCCAGCTTTGCCCCTAATGGGAATATGCACATTTGTGTCGGTTAAGCCTTGGAATTAGTCAACCCATAATGGGTCAAAGGTTATGCTTAAACACATCGACTCACTAAACATCCTACCTTTTGTCTCTGAAACTGTTATGTGGGTTAGGAAATGCTTTCAATGTTCAGGGAGTGTACAAGTCTGCTCCACATTTAACCAGGGACTAGTGGCTCACAGGGCCCTCTCTGGTTTCTCTGGGCACAGTTGTTCTATGTCCAGCGACTTCTGGACCACCAGCAGTAAGTATTATCTTAGTGGGGCCCTTTTTGGCTTTTTCCTCCAAATTTCCCTGTTAAATTTCTGGCTAGCCTGCCATTTTGTTACTTGCCCCAACAGTATCATGTAGACATTAGCCTTCCTGGATTGTTTCCCACTGTAATCTCTATTGTATTCAACAATGTCATTGGGTGTGGATGTTTTCCAAGATCTACTACAAAGTCATCCCACCCGAGAAGGGCAGCAAAGCCACCAGTCACAATGCCTGCCTGCCTGCCCATCTGAGTCAAACGTGTGAGCCACAGGATGGGAGCAGTCACTCTTTTTTTAGTGAGACTTATGGAGATTTTCTTTAATAAACATTTCTCAACAGTATGCTCTTTGGCCAATTTACAGAAACTATAAATGGTTATTCTTTTTTATAATTTTGTCCAGTTTTATTTCTGCCTTTTGGAAAGGGAATCTACCACACTCCTGTTCTAGCCATTCTTGCCAGTCCCACCTAAAGGAGTTTGAAATACACTTTGTTCAAAAAATTTCAGGAAGTGTTATTTGACAAAATTATTCTTGACTACATTTAAAAAAATATCTACAAACGTATAACAATTATTAAGAGGGAGCCTGATTCCTAGTGCCAGTTTGAAGAGGAATTTATAATAATATATAAATATAAATATAAATATAAATATATAAATATAACTAAAGATGGACATGGCATTAGAATGACCTACACTTGCTTGCCTTCTGAAATGCTGACCTCATCGCTAGCAAGAAGAAAGGCAAGGGAGAGCTTCATTTCCCCTCCTGGGAGGTCCATTTCCAAATGCTTCAAACTTAGAAACTTTGTAACTGCAGCAAGGAAGTTGCCCAGCTATTTAGAGTCTTGATGTGAAAACAGAATAAGACATTATTTAGTTTTTTCACACTACCCTCTGTGAACTTTGATATTTACCGAAAGTATTTCACTACACCAGCTTCCCGGTACGGAATGCATTGAAATTCAAAAGTCATGCATATCACCCCAAATGAAAGCAAGATTTGGAGCAACACCACCATTGTTGGACCATTTCTAAGTATATGTGCTTGGGAGAATCTAGCATGCTGCTTTTAATTAATGCCATTCTAATCTTCTGGATTTCTACTGTTGGGGTGCAAGGTAAGTTGAAAACACGAAAGCAGACCTGAATATTTAGTTCCTCTCTCATATGTGTGTGTTGGGTGTGTATTAGAGTGTAAGTCTGTTTTAAAATGAATAAATAGGTAAGAACATTTTGAATAAAGGCTTATAATTTAATCTATTTTATCAAAATGTTTTCTAATATGAAATTAAGAGAAAATAGAATGAAATTATTTTCTCTGTCCTCTAAGTTCCCGTGTGAATAGCCACCAAATACAACATTTGGAGAGGAATTACAGGATGAAAAAGCTGCATATCATAAAGTCGAAAGGGTCAAGTACCAGTGTAATTCTCCATAAACTCTGCAATGCCACTGGCCAGAAAAAGCATCCCAAGAAAATCTGGACACCTTCAAAGTATTTGTATTTTCATAGATTTGTTCATTTAAGATTTAAATATTATTAAACCAGGAACTTCCTTTTTCAATCTAATTATCATTCAACTAAGGGGAATCTCTTTTAGTAAAAAAGTGCAGTACATCCTAATTTTTGTGTGTAATAAGCCAGTGAAATGTCAATGAGTTGTTTTCTTTCTTTTTTTTTTTTTTGGTTGTTATTTGCTTTTCTGAGCTCTTCAACAAATGTTAAAAGTGAAAAGAAATTGTCCATCCTTTCTTTATTCAAACTATAAACCACATCTTACAATATTTTAAAAACTGTCTCATCTTATTTCATGTTGAAATAAAAATCATCATATCCAAATAATTGCAAATGGAACCTCTAACAAGATCCAGGACTGCTGATTAGACCACATGTGCAAGTGGACTTTCAGTCCTACCTTTTATTGTTTGATTTCCAGAAGGGATTTATTTTTGCTGTTTTGTTGCTTGCTAATTTTTGCATATAATGGATGTTCTTTGGGGAAAGTTTCTCTTTAATCCTAACTTTAGAGGAAAAACAGGAACAATAAAAATGCTTTACTTTTAAGAGCCACCCTCATAAAAGTTATAAAACCTTATTTCTATAGACTTGAAACTCCTTTTGCTTGTTACTACTTTTAGCATTGAGATAGAATCTCAGGACAATCATTAGCTGTTGGGGGTAAAAGTGCAACAGGCATTGCTTAGTCTCAATTAAAAATACCAAATTCTCTGATTAGACATACAACAGCCTCATTGAAGAACTGTATAGATAGGTGTCTTTGATTTTTTTTTTACCCGTGGGTCTGATAAATATTGTTTTAAACATCTGTTAGTGATGGCATTAAGAGAGGATTTCTAAATGGGCAAAAAGCAGAGGAAAAGAAGTGTAAAATATGAGAATAATATGTAGAATTTTTACAATCCAGAACCCAGAAAAAGATATTCGAACTTCAAACTAGTCTCCGGAGAACCTTCAGTGAAGCTCTATCCAGAATTTGTGTTGCTGTTAAATGGCTTCTAATTTTGTGTTGCAGTTAGGCTGAGGTGCGTGTTGAGGTGCTCTGGTCCCAGAGCAAAAGCAGTGTGTTAAAGTCACGCTTATATAAAAACCCTGCCTGCGTTCCATAGTGAAATATTGATCAAGCACTATATTATGCTGCATGTTGCAGCAAAGAAGCTCAAAAGAAAATGAAAACTCTGTGCCTCACTACAGCTTTGAGTGTCCTTGGAGGAAAGCAAAACGTGTCAATAAGTAAATAGATTGCAAGACTATGTGTGTCTATGTAGATACGTGTGATATATGTGTGTATATATATGAGTGTGTGTCTCGATTTCATTGGAAATGTAGTCATGAGCTTTTATCAGAACGTAGAGACAGCACACATCTCCTACTTTTGGGAGGGGGTGACTGGCTAAGGGAGGTCTGCCAAGAGAAGTTAACTTTCAGAACTATCACATTGCTGTGCGCACAATGAATATTTTTGCTAAATGTTGCAGAATGAGTGTTGAAGGATAGGTAGAAGGGGGACGATCGGAGAATGGAAGGGACATTATTCTGGATAGTGAAGTATACATAGGTAGAAATGCATGGAAATCAAACGCTGTAATTTGAGGGGAGCGCAAAGCATATCTGGAAAAATAATTATGGGAGGTGTGACTGTCAATGTTTAATGGAGGGTCTTTTCCTCCGCCTCGTATCAAATTGTAAACAGATAAGTAACCCCAGGTTACACAGGTTAAAAACCACAGGAATCACTAGTGTGAAATATTGTGCCACACGGAAAGTCACCTCTAGACAAATGCAAAAGAGAATTTCCTGAGGTAACTGGTTGGTGAGCTGAGTTTCTGGAAGTTGTTTTCTTTATTCACATAAGGAGAAAACAAAACTTCTTCATCCTCCCAGCACCAGGAAAAACCAGACAGCACAGAGACTGAATCAGAGTAGAAAAAGTAAAGGCCCGGGGAGCCCACACGACTCTGTCCCTGCCTGCCAGCTCGCGGTGTGGACCCGTGACCTGCTCTCTTTGGCCACCGCTCATAGACCGCTGTGTGGGATTTTCTTCTCGAAGTTACTGTGGAAGAGAGTTTATTCCACATGACTCCAAACATAAATTTCATGTTCATTGACAACAGACTTTTCAAATACTCTTGTGCTCTTAATTAGAGATTGTTTTTTTGTTCTCGACTGATTAGAACACTGCAAGGCATGTAAGGTAGAGGAACTTGAGCTGGATGAAAGAAAAAAAAATCAAAGAGATGATTAAAAGATGACTTAATGATTCACGAATGTAGGTTAATTCTTCAGTTTTATTTTTCCCAGCGTTTTCCTATTGTGGTTTTCCAAAAATAAACCATGGAATTATATATGGCAAAGAGTCCGATGAGGAGCCTTCCCTAAGTACTGTTGGGGAAATTTATTATTATTCTTGTGAATATAATTTTGCATCTCCTTCACGATCCTTTTGGACTCGCATAATCTGCACAGAGGAAGGATGGTCACCAACACCCAAGTGTCTCAGTGAGTAAATGCCCTGATCAGTAGATGTGGATGCATCATTCAGTAAATAGAGATGTTCCAGATGTGACGTCAGGCCCTTGGCAGACAATCACAGGGATCAGGACTAGCCAGCGAAGATGAGAAATGTAGTCCTTTCTTGAGAAGGCTTTTATGAAAACCAAATGAAGAATTAATATGTGAACTTTCTCGTGTTACCTAGAAGTGCTTTACACATTTTAATTTTAAACTGATGATTTATATATTTGACTATTAATATGTATTTCCTAATATTTGTTTGGTATTAGCCTGGGCATATTTTTCCTTTAAAACAAATCTTTTTACATACACATTCTGTTTTGAAACTTACCATTCTCTTGAGTATTGAAAAGATTGTGTAAGTGTAAATATTTTCACTTTCATATTTTCCATAAAACACGTCTTTTGTTCTTACAGTGATATCTATATTAATCCTTAGGTGAATGTGACAAGGAGACTCAAGAGAGAATAGGTATATTAAGCAAAAAGCAATGGGGGGTGCCTGGCTGGCTCAGTTGGTTAAGTATCTTGATGCTTGATTTCGGCTCGGATCATGATCTTAGGGTCATGAGCTCAAGTGCCGTGCTGGGCGCTGTGCTCATCGAGGAGTCTGCTTGTCCCTCTCCCTCTGCCCCCCCTTCTCTCTCTATCTCAAATAAATAAATAAAATCTAAAAAGAAAAAGAAAAAAGAAAAAAACAATGGCAGGCAGAAAATATGAGCCAACAAAGGAGACAGTAATGGTCTTTCTCCTTCTGTAAGAAACATTTATGAGAATTAAGAGAGAAATGGATATATTAAAATCTAATTTTGTACCTAGAAAAGTTTATAAAAATCAAATATTTTTTTGTAAAAACCATAGAACAGAATGAAATGTTAATTTACTTCTGTAAATTAAATATCTTCTTCTAAATTACTTCTGTAAAGTAATATCATGTATATAGTAGCATGATCAGAATTCTTTAGAAATTTTGTTTTCATACCTGATTTCAGTTTTGAAAGTTTGCCATTCTTCTTAAAATATTGTAAAAAGGAAATTTAGGTGGTTTTTTTTTTTTTTTACCACTTCCATCTTGTACATTAAACAATTTTTGGTTCTTAGGACTGTGTTTCTTTCCTTCTGTGGAAAATGGTCATTCTACATCTTCAGGACAAACACACCTGGAAGGTGACACTGTGCAAATTATCTGTGATGTCGGCTACAGCCTTCCTAATAATAGTGACACCATTTCATGTTTGGAAGATGGCTGGTCTTCTCCTCCCAAATGCAGCTCCACCAGTAAGTAAAATGCTGTCCTTTCACATCCTGACATGTGATGTGATTTTTTAAAAAATATATCTATTGTCAGGGGCTAAATGTCAGTTTCACCACTGGCTTTTATCATTATGCATTTGTTTTTCAGTTCCAGTTGAGTCTGATAGATATACAAATAGCATAGTTTGCTTGCCTACACGAATCTGGTGCATGCAATAAATAGAAATATTAGAAGGCAGTCCCTTTATGTTAAAGGAACACCCATTTATTGCTTACATGAAAATTATCAAGTTAGTTGGAAATCAACTTTATTTAAAACTGGAGTATTAAACTGAAAATAGACTATTTAAGTGAACGTAAGTCCAATGCTAGTTAAAATGTCTTATGAATAAGATAGTTTTTTTATAGTTATTTTATGTGTGTATATTAAATTCACAGGCTTAATTCAATAAACCATCAGTTTCTAAGTTTAAAATATTTTGTACCTGTGAGCATTATACTTATTTGTCAGTGGCTTTGGAAAACAACTCCTTAAGAAACTGTATAATATGAAGGCATCTCCCAGACCTGTGTGAACACTTGCAATTCTTCATCTTTACAACTCTCTGGCAATCATTCTTAAGATAGTTCATGGAATTCCAGCCTATGCTTGCACAGCTTAGTACTCAACCAAAGACTCAAGGACACTCTTCAGAAAACTTCTCTAGCTCTTTCTCCTCATAATACCCTCTCTCTGTTACTCTGCCCTATAAATTCTAGCCATTCTAGCCACCATGGTCTCCAATACTGTGATCTTGCTCTTCTCAGTTCAGGAAGACCCCTGGACTCTGCATGGCTTCCCCCTACCCCTTGCCCCCACAACACAGTCTGGAAAGTGCTCTCCTAGTAGAAAGCTGAAACAGTCATAGACTGTGCTTTTGGGTTTGGGTGTTCCCCCCCTCTTTTTATCATCACAGACTTGCACTGCGTAGTTTCCAGTCTTTTAGAGATATGTTTTGTACAGTCTTCTAATGTTTTTTTTCTGATAGGAGGGTATGCTGATACCAGCTAATCTATCTTATCAGGAAATGAAGTCTAATGATACGCTTTTTTTTAAAATGTTATTCCAGAACTTCATTATTTAAATTTAAATTTCTAGAAAATAGAGTCTTTTTAAAGCAGCTTGAATTAAAATACTCAGTTACCAGTTAGGCCACAATCTCTTTCAATTACAAGGGGCTTACAAGTGACTAATACTTACAGAAAAATAATAAAAGAACACATTTATTGACTTCCTACCTGAAATGTCCAGTGGTTGAACAGGGTTCATGATTTATAAGGCTTCAGTTATGGTATAAATATTTCATTGTCATCTCCATCTCGAGAACCATCTCTCTTCATTTTGTGGGATAATGGCAACTGTCAGCCCAACAATTGTATTTTAGAGGCCTGACAACTCAGTTTGACCAGTAGCAGCCCACACAAGCTGGCTCCTGAGTACATTTTGTGAGACTTCATTAGCCTTTGAAGAATTCTGTGTATCCAAAGTTGGGTGTTGGATCAAGAACACCATGGAAAGTCAATGGCATTTCAGGCAACTGGATTCCAACATGGGTTCTGAGAAAAATCACCTCTGTGTCCATGAGTAAATGATCACCTATTTGAGCTAAGGTTACTGATCCACAAAATGAGTATGTTAAACTATCTGGGTAACAATGATTAAAACATAACAATTTTTCTTTAAATCCATAAATTGTTTCCACCTGTGGTGGAAGCTCTTATTTTCTACCGACTGTGTTATATTTATGGACAAATATTTAGTGAGAAATGGCTTTTAACAAGAATTAGAGTGACAAAGGAAGAAATAAAGACTGGATAACGAAATGGTGGAGAGAGATTCAGAAAGATGAAAAAATAGGAGTACAGAAAAAAATAGAGAAAAATAAATATCTAGAACAAGAGTTCTAAACTCTTTCAGAAGCTTGCGCACCTTTTGCTCCCCAAAATAAGCTGCGGGAATGCTGATAAAGTCATTAATCACTTCATTAAATCAATCATGATATACATATGCTTTTAAATTTTGTGGGAGTGTTAACAACATTGTAAATCACCCGTTTTAAAAAAATATATTGGCTTTACTCTTAATGCTACAGTCTTAAAAAGAAGTCATCCATATTATTCATATTTAAGCAACTTCATGTCTTTAGGAAAGTAATATGCAAGTAAATTAAATTTTAAATTTTAGTAATTCTATCAGAAGGATGTTGCCACTGACTTGTCCTTTTAGATGATTTTAGAATGTGTACTTAACCTTTAAAAATTTGATCTATTTAAATAATGAAATACTGTGATAAACTACAGCTAATCACAAAAACAAATCTGACATTCACCAATATGAAAATGAGATTTAAAAAATTCCATAAATTTTAAAACAGGCAAAATTATTCTGTGGTGTTTGCAGGAAAGAGAGTGTTAGTGGTTAGGTCATGAGGAACTTCGAACATGTGAGTCATAATTCTGTTGTTTTAGCTGGATGGCAGTCACAGCAGTGTGCTTATTTTGTAAAAACTTACTGAACTTCTGATTTTTATACTCATCTACGTGCATTTTATGCTTTAATAAGTTCATTACCACCCATTATCAGGAGACAGTTCCTATGAGGTTTTCACATTTCTGCATGGTCCAGGCTTTCTGAACGAAGAGTGCTAGCAAACCTGGCCAGAAAATGATTCGCAAACAAGCCTTGGACCTTAGAGTATATGCCCCTCAAGTGAGATTGAGAGACATCTTTCTGGAGCCATTTGCTTACGTTTCAGAGGAGTAAAAACCTTCCTCTCTCTCCCCACAAATTTGTCTCTGTTCCAGAGCAAAAGTCTCCTTCCCTTTCTCTCTTGTGGGGAGGATGGGCCAATGGGCCAGCTACCCTGTAAAAGTTCCAAGTCTCTTACTTCAGAGGTTCCTTTCCTATGGCGCAAAGCCACTGCCTGAGCATGACGATCACCTTGGGCCGTCACTGCATCTGATCAGTTGGAGTCTGCCGGGTCAGAGACTGGAGCTCAGAGAACTGGCAATATAGCTCTTTGTGAGTAATAACCTATTTAGTCTCTGATCTAGAGAACTAATGTTTCCTGGAAGGAGGATACATTTCCATATGCATGTACATATACACACACACACACACACATCAGGCACTTACTGCACCACCAATAGAATATATAATATACTATACATGGTAGATATATACACAGACATATATATATTTATATGGTGAATACCTATGTATATTTAAAAATAGTATAATTTATTTAGGAGTTGATATATAAGGAAAATGTGCATAAAATCAATTTTTACTAAATTATTCATAATAAAATTTCCTAAAAGATCACTTATCCACTAATACATAATGATTAAAGGTTTTTGTCTGCTTGTTGTGTGCTTGGGATAACATTAGAAATAAGACCCTGATTTTTAATACGCCTTGAGTCTTATGATATGGCAGTATTCGCGAATGCCAGAAACAAAGGTAAGGGCGTATGGTTTAAACTCAGTGACAAGTTGGACTGTAATGCCATGATGGATCTAAGACAGAGATGGAAGTACCACAGGTTCCATAAGATGTGGTGAAGATGGTAAGTCCTTTTACTTCTAGGAAGTAAACTGCTTTTTAAAGCAGTTCTGAATGTATTTCTCTTTAGTAGACTCTATTGAAAGATGTTTCCTAATGAACAATCATCAAAATTTAAGGTGACTCCACATAGATTTAAGAGACCGATGTTAAATATTGATTTAATAACAGATCTTTGAAAAGCACTTAGCTCATCCAAAATAAGGTTGTTTATGTGCCACATGCAATGTAATATTTACGACCAAGATGAACGCTGTTTTGAAGGTACCTCGAATTCAAATTGCCAAATAATTCAAAATGAGGCAAACGTTACCCAAGTTATAGTCTGCTATGCATGCTAAAACAACTTTAGATATTTTACTCCTTGATTTTCATCCTTTTCCTTGTCATTTGATTATAAACTCATAATTTATGGTCAAGACTTGGGGCTCCTGGGTGGCTCAGTCATTTAAGTGTCTGCCTTCAGCTCAGGTCCATGGTCTCGGGGTCCTGGGACTGAGTCCCACATCGGGCTCCCTGCTCAGTGGGGAGTCTGCTTCTCCCTCTGCCTTTCCCTCTGTGTATGCTTTGTCTCTCTCAAATAAATAAAATCTTAAAAAGAAATCTATAGTCAGAGACTTGGTTTTTTGTTTATTTTAGAGCATTTTTGGGTTCCACGGCACAATTGAGAGGGAGTTACAGAGATATACCCTTTGCCCCACACATGCAATATAATCTGTCCCATTATCAACTTGACTGATCAGCACACTATATTTGTACAATTGATGAACAATTTGACACACCATAATCACCCAAAGTCCATAGTTTATATTACAGTTCAATCCTGGTGTGGCAGTCTTTGACTTAAATGCAGGACAGAATGCCTTCAGGTCATGCCAAATCACACCCTTCCTTAAATATGGCTGTACATTCTTTTCCCATATATATTAGTTTTCTCCTGCTGCTGTAGCAAATTGCCACAAACCTAATTACTTAAAACAATGCAAACTTATTATCTTACAGTTCTGGAGGTCAAAAGTCCTGAAATCAAGGATGTTGAATCACAGTTCCTTCTGGAGGTCCTAGGAAGGAATTTGTTTTCTGCCTTTTACAGCTTCTCGAAGCCCTTTGCATTTCTTGGCTCCCCACCCTTCCTCATATCACTTCAACCTCTGCTTCTGTTGCTACAACTCCTACTTTGATTCTGACACCTCTGCTTCCTTTTGTAAGAACCCTTCTGATTACATTGGGTCCACTACCATACAAATAATTCAAAATAATCTCTCAAGGTCTTTAACTTAATTGTATCTACAAAGTCTGTTTTGCCAAGGAAGGTAATATATTTGCAGGTTTCAGGATTAGGATGTGGACATTTTGGGGAGGCCATGGTTCTGTCTATAATACCATGTAATAACCATACTTGAATAAATCAGCTGAAAAATCCTACATCAGCCAAGATCAGTTATTTTCAATAGTTTTTTTTTACAATTGGGTTAGAAAGGGAATATAAACAACCAAAAAAGAATTGTCATGCAAAATTACTGGAATAAAATACAAAGATACAGGGGTGCAACTTTTCATAAAACTGAGTGAGTCACATTTCAGGGGGATATGAACAAACCGTTATTAAAGTATTAAATTGCCAATAACAATGC